GAGGGGAGGGGAGGGGCGGCGGCCCCGGGCACCGTGCGCCCTGAGCGAGCCGGCCGCTGGCGCCCCGGAAGGAAGACGTGGCCGCCCCGAAAGGGGAAGCTTCTCCGCGGCGTGGGAGCGGGATTGTGTAAAATCGCTCAGCGGATGCTCGCGAAGAGTTCACTGTGGCAAACGACCTGCTTGTCTAAGACATTTTTAAAATTAAAAAAAATTCAAAGCTACCCACGTTTTCCAGATATGTTTTGCTACCAATTTTGCAATGGTGATGGATTCCTTAAGGCTTTTCTCGAGTAGTATGCCTACAAGGACCCCTTGTATGATGTTTTTAATATATAACCTGTAGTTTTGAAATAACTGCATCAAACTTAAATTGTACAGTAATAAATAAAAAGAGACAGAAGTACCTGTTTGGATGAAAATGAACCTGCCCTGGATGGAAAGCCTTCCTGCCGCGGGAAAGAAGCTAAGGTTTCGGACTCATCTCTGAATAGGGGTCTGTGCTGGTCACAAGCAGGCTGTTGCCACTCGCAGCAGGTCTTTTTCTTGGGCCTTAAATTCTCTTGCATTTCCCGTTTGTCATCAACCTCTCTTGGACTACATTTTAAAACTATGCTCCAAAATGCACCTGCCCCACAACCCCTAAGTTTTCCTTTAAGTTGAAATCTCTCCCTTTCTCATCAGGAAACTAATTTTAAAAGGCTGAAATGAAAAGAGCCCTAGGCAGTTTGCTCCGTGGTTAGAGCTTTGCCCTCGGAGGGTCCCAGGCTCTCTTCCTGTCAAGGGCACTTGCCCCGGTTGCCTAGACTAAGGGAGCCACAGCATGGCGGTGGCAGCAGGCTGGGGGCAGGTCGCGTGCTATTGGATAGCCGGCCAGGCGGAATTTCTCCGTTGCTCGTGGGAACAAGAATTTCCAGGGGCCCCCACTGGAGGATGAGATGTGATAGAAAGCTTTATTTGCGTGGGATTACATTCCTCGGTTTGCAAAGTCCCATTTCCCTTAAACCAGTCCCGGAAAAGGTGCAGCTGGGGGTTCATCAGAGCTAGAAGCAAAGCCAGCGTCCAGAGCGTCTGTTCCATGGTGGAACCGAGTCCAGCAGAGCACCAGGCTAGCTGTATCCATGATTTCATTGTGGGTGGGGTCTACATGGCCCACCGTGCGAGCTTCAGAGCCCTGCCAGCCGTGAGCAGGAGAGAGAAGAGCAAGAGAGTTCCTGTGTTTAGGAGCTTAAATACCAAGTCTTCCAGAGCTTCAGTGGCCACGGCTATATGCCTTCTCTGGCCGATGCCCTGGTCCCAGGTATGACTGACAGACAAGCACCCTCCCCTACATCGCCTAGACTGTACTGAGCATGCGCCTATTCATTTTATGTCCCGTTCCTTCCCCCAGGATCTGCAGGGAACAGACTTGGAGCATGTAAAACTGTAGCTTTCTGGTGAAGTACAGCGCTCCCATCTTAGCACTCTCATCTTAGCACTCCCATTTTCTACCCTTACAACTGCTACTTTGGAGATAAGCAAGAGCAACAAATTTTGGTAGAAACAATAACCTCTTTCCCTCCCCTGGATCTTTGTAAACTTTGTAAAAGATTTCCGCCCGTAAAAATTCCAGGGAATAGTTAACCAAGAAGGTTAATTAACGCTTATCTTAGCTTCTGTCTACCACTTTGCTAGTCCCCCACTTGCCTCCCCTTAGCCAAATAGAATGTAGTTTTTGCCTGTATATTCTCCCTGCAAAGACTGTTGTGAGCTGCGAGTTTTGTTCAGGGCAGGCATCTGCTCGCAGCTGCTGGCTAATAAATCTCCAAACGATCTATTTGGTCTCTGTGTGAATTAGTTTTGCATAAGCCAGGTATAACATTTGGAGGCCCCAGCGAGATCTAATTCTAAAATTTCTCCAGGCTTCTGGGCCTCCGCGACTGGCCTGCTCCGCGACAAGGACTTCTCCCCTGTGTGTCAGAAGCTGATGCCCTGTGGCCATCGATCCGTTTAGAGTCTCTCAGGATGCATCCGGAGGTAAGATATAATTTTAAATTATTTCTTGGTTAGACTAGTCTCTGTATTCTCACCAATGAGGGTCAGACGTGGCCGTCCTAATTGTGCGGGGTCCTTCCTTGGGTCGGGACACAGACAGAAGGATTTACCTGGTTCTGAAACCTATAGAGGTCCCACTCAGGTTCTGTCGGTGGGAATGTCATAACCTCTGAACAAGTGTTGTGTGAATGTGTCTGTAGTCCCATAGCTTTCACTACGGGATCTGAGTGGGCCCTAATCTGATTCTGTAGTCGGCCACAACGACATAGCGGTGACTCAGCTCTGGCTGACCAGGCCCGGGGTGTACACGGGTGCACCTTAGTCAAGGCCGAACTAAGTTGCCGCGAGGCAGTGGGCAGACGGGGCATCTGAGAGGGTCCCTTCGGGGACCTCCCCTCTCCTTTGTCTTTGACACCGTGCACAGAAAGATCTGGGTTCAAGGAATACATAGAATTTATAAGTTTGTTCAGTTTCTCTTACTTCACTTAGTCTCCATACGTTAGTCCTCCTGGGTTACGATTTCGCTTCTCTTGTCTCAGCTGTCTTAGAGGATCTTTCTTGGTGGGGTCCTATCCCGTTCTCTTTTGAAGTCTGCTCTCTCTGAAGATCTCGGGCCTCTGACCGCGTGCTGCACCCGAGACCCGGTCTTCTCCATGCCTCCCCCTCCTCCGTCGGGGCCGCCAGTGCCCACCTGTCTCCTAATCTGATTCCCTTCCCACGGGACGGCGGGACTCGGCCTTCGCCTCCTTCCCAACGCGTCGGGGGGCTTTCTCCTCTATTCCCTTGGCCGCACTGATTGTTTTCATCAGTTTCACCAAGGGCGGGGGTAGTTAAAAAATCAGAACTCCGCTCCAGGGTGTGCTCGACCGTGAGGAAAAGGCTGGTTTGCGCACAGGCGTTGTGGGGAGCCCCTCTCAGGAGGCGCTGTCATCCTCTGGTGCCCCCCTCAGGCCCCATTTCCTCCTTAGGGGCCTTGCGGGAGGTGCACCCTCCTCTAGCACTGTTCTTCCCTGCGGGAGCCCTGCCTGCTGACGGGGACTCGAGGGGAAGATCCCCTTTTCTTGTTCACACTCCCTTCTTGGCTAGCGACCTATACAGCTGGAAAGCCCAGAATCCCCCTTTCTTGGAAAAACTGCAGGCCCTTACCGGGCTACTAGAGTCTGTGTTTCACACCCATCGCCCCACATGGGACAATTGTCGGCAACTCATGGTTACCCTGTTCACTTCTGAGGAACATGAAAGAATTAAAAAGGAGGCCCGCAGGCAGCCTTAGGCCCTGGAGGGGGTTCCTTAGAAGAGAATAGAGATAGGATTGAACAACCTTTTCCCACAAATCGGCTGGAGTAGGACCCCTTTCCTCTAAGAGAACAACAGTCTAAGGGGCCACTGGGAACTCCGCACAATATCCTTGGACATCCCAATGGACTGTTGACCTAGGCAAAAATACTGTCGCTGATTCTTTCCTTGTAATCTTGGATTGTCCCTATCCCCTCTTGGGAAGGGACCTCCTCTGCAAGCTTCGAGCCACCTCTCACTCCACAGTGCCCACTAGACTTTGCCCCCCAGAGGCTGGGCTTTCCTTATGCATGGGATGACCTCTCTGTGGAGCATCCCTGGGGCTCAGGGGGACACTACCTTCCCGGAATAGTGTTCAGGCTGTGCCACAACCCAGTGCCTTCCAGCGAGCATGCCAGCCTTTGCCTGCCAGTCAGCCGTGCACAGAGCCTGTAAGGCCTATAGAGAAGCCGGTGCAGGATGCTGAGAAGACTATATGGCTGCCCAGCTGCAGGAAAGAGCAGCTCCAGCCCCAGCTCAATGAGCACCCTGGGGCACCCATTGTTATCGGAGATAGCACAGTTCCCCACACCCCACCAACACTCCCACCCTGTGCCCAAGAGCACCAGTCTCTTCTACAGAACCTGGCTGCCTACCGTGACTGTCTGGATGTGCAGACACCCGAGGCCACACCTGAGCCTGATCCAGCCCCAGTCCCCAAGGACAGCTATGACAAAGACTCCAGGGGAACCCTGTCTACCCAGGAGGCCCCTTTGAGGGTGCATTGCTCACTTAGGGAGGAAGTGGCACTGGACTTGAGTGTAAAGAAACCCATGGCAGAGGCTCCTCCTATCAAGGTCCCTAGTCCTGCGGTATGCGCCAAGCTCCCTGTAGCTGTGGGGGTGCCAGATGCAGGGAGCACAGTCTCGGAGCTGCCTGGGGTGCCAGTGACCACAGAGACCACCCCAAAGACCAACCTCCACAGCTCTGTGGCCTTCGTGTTCCGAAAATTCAAGATCCTCTGCCTGGCACCCTTGTCTGTAGCTATGGCCCCATCTGTGCCCACCTCAGTCCCTTCCTCTGACCAGCCTGCACCCACCCCTACATCTGTGCCCACTGGACTACAGATTCTCAAACAGCCCTTGCCCATGGCCTGCTTTGATCTGGCACTGCCCAGTTCTCCAGGTGTATTCGTGGCCACCCCAGCACCTACTCTGCCTCCATCACCTGCTTCAGCCCAGGCTCCGACTCCAGCTTCTACCCATCACAGTGGATTCCCCAGAGCAACGCTTTGCACGATTGCACGAATCCCTGTGTGATGCCATCTCGGGCTCAGTGGCCCACTCCCCACCTGAGAAGCTGTGAATGGATTGAGATGGCTGGGCCTTGGGGCGGGGCAGCACGGCAGGATGGCCAGGCAGTCCAGGGCTGTTGGGCAAGCTGCTGTCCCAGTGCAGCGCTTTGTGTGCACCTGGCAGTGCCCCTTCCCCCACGTGGTGTGGGCCAGCGCCATCTTTGTGCCCATCCACCTGGTGAAGGAGCAGCTTTCCCCGAGGCTGCCGCCTGCTTCTGTGGACCACGTGCTGCAGGAGCACCGCGTGGAGCTCCGGCCCACCGCATTGTCAGAGGAGAAGGCACTGCGGGAGCGAGCCCGGCATAGCTGCTCCTCACGCATGCTGAAGTCGCTGGCACTGCGCCAGCTGCCTGACATACCCTGACCTGCTGGGCCCGCAGCGGCGTGACTGTGGACGCCGCCAGCTGAAACCCATCCTGGCCAGAGATGAGCCAGGGAGCCTATCTCTGGCTCAGAAGACTCCCATCTCCAAGGCCAGGAAGCCAGGGAGGAAGCTACCAACTCCTGGTCAGAGAAAGCAGAGGCAACTGCCGGGGGAGGGTCCTGCTGTGCCTCACCTGCCCCCGATGCCAGTGCCAGCCCACCCGGCCACACACTGAGGGCCCGCTGCCGAAGCCTGCTGGAAACCGCCGGCTTAGTGGCCTGGCACCGCCCACGGAGGGCCACAAGGCCTCAGGAGCAGCCGGGCCCTCACCCTGCCCACAGCTGTTAGGTGGCCAGAGCCATCTCCTGGAGCATTGGTGGCTGGAGCTGTTTGATAGCTACTGCCCGGTAATCTCTCTCTGCCCTCCATTCTGCGAGCCCACCTGCGCGTCCAGGAGCCGTGCCCTTGGAGTCTCTCCGGTTCTCACCCTGCCCCCCACCCCCAGCTGGGCTGAGTCCCTGAGCATATAACTTGAGGTCCCTTATTAGAAACAACTGATTTCTGTTTCGTCCTGAAAAAAGACGTGTGGGCTTTGGAGCCCCACTGGCTTGGGGTCAGACCCTGGCTCCTATGTTTCTTGCTGTATAACTGGGCAAGTCCCTTCCTCTCGAGCCCTTGTTTACCCATTTGTAAAGCAGGACAACACAGCCTACCTCGCAGGGTGGGTGTGGGGGTGACGCCTGACACACACCAGTTATAGTTCGCTCTCTGCTCCCTCCGCAGGACAGGGGCCCAGCTCCCAGCCAGTGCCCGGAGTCTGAGGCTGAGGCAACCAGAACCTCCAGGAAGTCTTAATACGTCCTAGGGCTCGGCTCTCTTGGTTTGATGCAGTGCACAGTGTATATGACTCCCATACGTTTCAGAGCCGCCCCCAGGAACGCCTGGGCTGCAGCCCCAGTGTTTGGGGCTGGGCCCTAAGCCTCAGCCCTGGGGGAGCCTGCCCTTCACTCCACCTCACACTCGCCCTTAGTGCCGCCCCGTCTCCTTACCCGCCTGACCTCCTTCATTAGAGGTAGAATTAACCCTGTAAAAGGAACCCCCCTCGGAACTGAGGACCATTCTCTGCCCTTCGCAGGAGAATCAAGTTCATTGTCATCACCTTTACAAACAGCAGTGGGAGTGAAGTCGAGCACATGGAGCACCCCATCTCAGCACCCCGCCTTCTACCCTTACGATCGATACTTTGGAGATAAGCAAGAGCAACAAATTGTGGTAGAAGCAATAACCTCTTCCCCTCCCCTGGCTCTTTGTAAACTTTGTAAGAGGTTTCCGCCCTTAAAAATTCCAGGGAATAGTTAACCAAGGTTAATTAACGCTTCTCTTAGCTTCTGTCTACTGCTTCACTAGTCCCCCACCTGCCCCCTTGGCCAGAGACAATGTAGTTTTTGCCTTTATATTCTCCCTGCGAAGACTGTTCGGGGCTGTGAGTCTGTTTAGGGCGGGACTCTGCTTGCAGTCACTGGCTTATAAATTTCCAAATGGTCAATTTGGTCTCTGTATGAATTGGTCTCGAGTAAGATGGGTGTAACAATGGCGTGCCTATGTTATCTGGCCTTCCCTTTGCTCCTTTCCTCTTAATTAATAACTAGGTTAATTATAGTGCTGTCATTAGGACCCCCACATTGTGTTCCAGCAAAACATACTTGTAGTTCCCAGAACGAGCCTTGCAGTTCCATGCTAAGTTTTACAAAATCCTTTACTACGTCCCAAAATCCTGCTTCTGGCTCTTGTCCTGGCAAACATTAACTTAATCTTCAAGTTTTGTGGGTTTTTTTTTTTGTTGTTTTTTTTAATTTTCTTTATCCATGCATTCACTGGTTGATTCTTGCATGTGCCCTGATCCAGGATCGAACCCACAACCTTGGTATATGGGGACAGTGCCCTAACCAACTGAGCTACCTGGCGAGGGCAGTCTTCAAGNGCCCTGATCCAGGATTGAACCCACAACCTTGGTATATGGGGACAGTGCCCTAACCAACTGAGCTACCTGGCGAGGGCAGTCTTCAAGTTTTAACTCAAAAGTTATTTATTCTGTGAGACCTTCCCTGGTTCCTAAAGGCAAACTTAGGTGCTCCTCCTGTTTTCCATGTTGTGTATATTACACTTACCCATTACTGTTATAACAGCAGCATTGCTTTCCAATACCATTCCTAGCCTTTTAATGACACTGAGTTTCCTGAGGGCCAGGATTGCATCTTTGCTGTTTTCATGAGTCTACCTCAGCCAGCAGAACTTCATGTCTGTCTAATCAATGTGTCTAAAAAAGAGCAAAGCAGCCCCAGCGGGATTGGCCTGAGGATCCAAGGGTCTCAGGTTCGATTCCCAGTCAAGGGCACATATCTCGGTTGCAGGCTCAATCTCCGGCCCCAGTCAGGGCACATGTGGGAGGCAACCAATCGATGTGTTTCTCTCACATCCCCCCCCCTCCCTTTTCCTTCCATTCTCTCTGAAAAGCAATGGAAAAAATATCCTTGAGTCAGGATTAAAAAAATAAAAAGAGCAAAGTAGCTCTTTTGGCTCTTTCAGAGTCAAGGACTCGTGATTGTTGAGCAGGCATGTTGCTCAGTGAAGTCCAACAGGTTAACAGGAACAGGCCTTATAGCTGCTGAGCCCCTAGACACCCGAGGTTCTTGGTTTTTAGTTTTCATTACCAACTCCAGGCCCCTGATCCAAAGCTGTCACCACTGACTCAAGCCGTCACCTACACTAGCTGCCAAGTGCCACTCAGTCTCTTTAGTTCCCCTCCCCTACGGTCCCAGAAGAAAACTGACAGGACTCACCCCACCATTCTTTATGCAGGGGGTGGGGCCAGGCTGGTGTCATTATCTTTTCTTCTTTTTTTAAATTTATCTTTATTGTTGAAAGTATTACAGATGTTTCCTTTTCTCCCCACTGATCCCCTCCACCCCGCATCCACCTACCCCCAGGCCTGCCCCAAACCAATGTCCGAGTCCATAGGTTACGATTATACAC